GTGTCCTGGAGAGGCCGGGAGGAGCTGGAAGGACCGAAGGGAGGGCAGCCCTGGAGAGGGGTGACTAAGGCTACAGTAGCGGTAACCATGGTAACTGGTGGTGGCTGCCGTCTGCCGAGCACCCACCGGGCACTGGGTGCTCCTCCCATTTCACGTCCCGGGGCTGGGGCTCCGAGCTTGAAGTGACTGCTCCTGGTGCCTGGTCGGGGGCTGGGGTTCGCAGCCTGTCTGTCCGTGGAGCCTGTGCTCATGGCCCTGCCCGGGGGTTTCAGACGCGCTCTGGCCGTGGAGCTGCTTCTGCAAGTGGAATCATATGTAGAAGGGCAGAGGTCAGAGCTTGGGGGGCAGGGTCACAGGGGCTGCAGCCCAGGCAGAGGGCTGGGGCTCAAACAGCGTTTGTGGAGCTGGGGGTGCGTTGGGGCAGGTAGATGGACGCTGCTCCGTGTCCACTGCTGAAGGGCAGGATGGTCCCCCCAAGGAGAATGAGTGAGGATGAGAAGTGGGTCCCCTGGGTGTAAGGGGCAAGGAGGCAGAGGAGCTCGTTGCCAGCTCCGCTGAAGGGACCATGGCTCGGGGGTTGGGAGACCCGGGACCTGCTCCCTGCTCTTCTGCCGATGAACTCGGTCAAGTCACCACTTCTGTGGGCCTCACTGTCCTCATCTGTGAAATTGGGGTGGGGGGAAGCAGATTCCAGGATCCTTCCCAGCCCTGCAGTTGGCGACTCTGAGGACCCCCAGGGAAAGGGGTCAGCAGTCAGATATAAAAGATCATAGGGTCCAGGGGGTGGGAGAATCCACGGGCTCAGCGCTCATCTGTCCAGTGGGACAGTGTTTCCCGGGCATCTCCCATGTGATGGGACGGGCATGTTCGCAGCCCTGGGGATGCAGCAGGGACAAGACAGACGGACAGTGTCATGGACGTTTGCTTCTTCTGCAGCCTCATGTACTGGACAGACTGGGGGGAAAACCCCAAAATCGAGTGTGCCAACCTGGACGGGCAGGAGCGACATGTCCTGGTGAACACCTCCCTTGGCTGGCCCAACGGGCTGGCCCTGGACCTGCAAGAGGGCAAGCTGTACTGGGGAGACGCCAAGACAGACAAAATTGAGGTGAGTCATCGCCACGGGCGAGCATCGCTTCATGAAACTGTTCAATACAGCTCATGCAGCCCAGTGCAGCCCGGCCATCCTTGCTCCGAGTTTCATGCAGAGGCCAGGCCTGGCTGGCCCTGCGGCCCGTCATACTTCATCAGGCGGGCATCATAGGATGGGTATGGGATGTTATCCTGGGGGAGGCTGGGCAGAGGTACCCGGGAACCCTCTGAACTACTCGTGTGACTTCTTGTGAGTCTTAAACTGTTTCAAAATACAAAGTCTAAATAAAAAATAGCACTAACACTTCCACCACCCAGCTTAAGACATAACCATTATCAACGTAGTTGAAGCCGGAGGTGACCACTGTCCTGAATTTGGCGATTCGTTCCCAAGCATTAAAAGACATTTTTTGGTGTTATGTGGGTGTCTCCCTGAACAGTGCGTAGTCTTGTTCTGCATGATTTTACGAGAATAGTTTGAGTGGTGTCCTGTATGCATTCCTTGGCAACTTGCTTTTTGCTCACAGGTGCCTTTTTTTTTTTCACCACCAGTAGTCTAGTTTTTATCTGTCACCATACACATGTGCCCCTTTACGCCTTTCTCCCTCCCCCTTCCCCTCTAGTAGCCACTAGTCTGTTCTCCTGATCTATATGTTTATCTTCCACATATGAGTGAAATCATACAGTGTTTGTCTTTTTCTGTCTCGCTTATTTCACTTAGCATAATACGCTCAAGGTCCATCCGTGTTGTTGCAAATGACAAGGTTTTATCTTTTTTATGGCCAAGTAGTATTCCGTTGTATATATATATATATATATATATATATGTATACCACATCTTCTTTAGCCATTCATCCGTTCACAGATGCATTTTTTTTGAGGTACTCTTGACGATATAGTAGTTAAATTTGTCCCTATCACAGGGAAGTCCCTGACATTCATGCCTCTCCTTGGCGTGGATGCCTGCCTCCCTCCCTCAGTTCCGGTAACTTCTGGTCGATCCTCATCTGCTTGTGGTCACCGCCTGGGGGTCACCTCTGCGCTTCTCACAGCTCCGTGGGGAGACCCCCACCGGGCAGCTCGCAGCGGGAGGGCAGGAGCGAGAATACGAATGTGTGTCTGTGCTGCGGGGTGTCAAGACACGCTTCTGAGCGGGACCGTGGAGGGGACTCGGGGCTGAGTGGGTGCCTCGCCCACAGAAACCCACCTAGCTGCATTTGTGGTCATTTCCTGTTGGAGTTCCCCTATAAACGGTCATTTTTCAAAGGATCTTTGGCTAAAGGAAGTTTGAAGACGCTTGTCTCTCAAGCCTCTGAGCCTGAAGGTGAGACCCTTGTTTCTGGCGGGGTCAGCCAAGGAGGCTTCATCTGCAGGGACCCCAGTCACCCCGGGGGCAGGCCAAGGATGCATGTGTCCAGCTGACAGTGGACACGTGACAGGCATTGCTCCGTGTGCTGCCGCTGCAGTGTGTTGTTTTCTTATTGTGGTAAAATAAACATAACATGAAATTGACCATTTTAACCATTAAAGTGTACAATTCAGTGGCATCTGGTACATTTACGGTGTTGTGCAGCCATCACCGCTATCTCGTTCCAGAACATTTTCATCACCCAAAACCCCGTACCCACCAAGCAGTCAGTCCCCACTCTGCCCTCCCCAGCCCTCTCCCCCTGGCAACCACTGACCTACCATCTGTCTCTGTGGATTTGCCTGTTCTGGACATTTCATGTGAATGGAATCAGACAATGCGTGGCCTTTTGTGTCTGGCTTCTTCACGTAGTATCATGTCTTCAGGGTTCGTCCGTGTGGTAGCGTGTGTCAGTGCTTCATTCCTCTTTTTGGCTCAATAATATTCCACTGTGTGGATGGACCGCATTCTCTTTATCCATTCGTCTGTTGATGGACGCTTGGGCTGTTTCCACCTTTTGGCTGTTGTGAATAGTGCTGCTATGAACATTGGTGTACAAGTTTTTATCTGCGCACCTGTTTTTAATTCTTTCGGGCGTATACCCAGGAGTGGAATTGCCGGGTCATATAGTAATTTTATCTTTAACTTCTTGAGGGACCGTCAGACTGCTTTCCGCGGTCCGCATCCGTTTACATCCTCGCCAGCTGGGTATACGTGTTCCCGTTTCGGCACATCCTTGCCAACCCTTGTAATTTCCTGCTTTCTTTTGTGTTACTCTAGCCGCCCTAGTGGGTGTGCTGATGTGTCTCGTGGTTTTGATTTGCGTTTTCCCGATGGTGAATGATGTTGAGCGCCTTTTCACATGCTTGTCCCACGATAGTATTTTGAGGTGTGTGGCACGTCCCCATTCGTGGATGAGAAGCCGAGGTCCAGGGGACAGTGACTTGCTCAGGGTCATGCAGAGAGCAGGTGGTTTTGATTTTCTGCTGTGGAATCAATCCACAGACAAAGCTCTAAGACAGTGTGAGGCTACCGTACAGAATACAGCCGTGATCCGCCGTGGTAATGGGTAGATAGAACGGACAGAAGTTAGGAGGTGGAAGGGTGGGGCAAGGAAGGAGCATATTAGAGTACCCAGGGTAACCAACAGAAGAACAAAAATGGTGACGTCACAGTAGCAGGAGGATGGGGGAGGGGCGTGGAGTAAGGGACAGAGTCTTTGCCCACCGAGTGCGCAGTGGCCAACGTGGATGAGCCAGGACCGCGCACCATAAGCATTAACCTATCGATTTGGAGCTAATCACTGGGAGACCTAAAAAGAGAGCCTGAAGAATTAGAAGTGTTTGGGATTCTTTGATAAACAAACTCGGGAAATGTGAGGTGACTCCCGCAGGACCTTTCTCGTTGCAGCCTTTAATATGCTTAAATAAGCAGAGCTCCTGCGAGGGGACTGAGTTGCGTAAGTATTCTCAAACTGCGTGACCTAGGGTTCCTTTCTTTCCCCGCTGTGGCTCTGGTGGCACCCACTTTGGGAACACTGACCCAGGCCAAGACCATTGCTACCGTCTGCCCACATGCCCAGAGCTGACCCTAGCTGCGGGTTTTTGCTGGACACTCCCTCCACCCCCGCCTCCGACCTGGGAAGCCGCTGACATGGATGGACATGGAGACCATTCGGTGTGTAAACTCAGGGCATCTTTTCCCCCTAAGAGTGGGAGATGCTCTGGGTGAGTTGCAGGTACACGTGGGTCATGGCAGCTTCTCGGGGTCTAGCCCAGAGCCCAGGACAGACCCTTCTGGCATTTTTTCCAATGGTGAAATGCCGTAGGGTCCGGTAGCTGACGCAAGGGTGAGCTTTCTGGAGGTGGCCCCAACATGCTTGGGGACTTGGCCACGTGTTCCTGCTGTGGACTCGTGCCCCTCACTCTTGGGTCTTGGGGTTTGCCACTGAGCACCTAGTGAGCACCAGCTCTGTTCCAGCAGCTGAGAACACATGCCCGACAGATGCTCCTCTGATGTGCCCCTGGGGTACCGCCTGTTACACAAACCTTTGGATCAGGCCACCAGCCCAGGTACAGAAGCCCCTGCAGGGGGGACAGCTGAGGGTGAGGGGCTGCGTTTACTTTCTGAGGGTGCAGCCAGACTCCAGGCAGGAGGGATGGGCAGGGGAGATATAAACCGGGTCAGGACAGGGTTCCAGCAATGGTGATGTTTCCAAGAGGTTTGCCCAGAGACAACGACCAAGCCAGGTGCTGAGGAGCCCGAGCACCAGCCTTGGGCATATTTTGCCGAGTTGCCTTTGAGGGGAGAAGGGCTTCCGTCCAGCATGGTTGTGCGCATGGCCTGGCTCTGAACGCAGAGAAGGTGCTGGGAGAAAGGAACTTTATCCGGCGATAAACTGGCTTTCCTTTGAAGAGGGCATCCGGCTCCTGTGTTCCGCCCGCCAGTCCCCCAGAGGGACTTCACAGGGCAGCTGTGGCTGATCCCTTGATGAACTGGGAGGAGAACAAAGGTCTGGAAGTGCCGAGCTGACGAAGCGGGGATTCATCTAGACAGCGTTAGCGGCACATGGATGGGATTTATGGAACAGAGTCCAGATCTCGGGCACGTCGTGCCGCCCTCCAGGTGAGGCCTCCTGCTGGCCTTGTCCGAGGCGGCCGTCCTGGGCATCAGGTTCAGGCCAGCCCCCGGGTCAGCCCGATGGAAGCACACAGAGGTGGCAGTCCCATAGGTGACCAGCAGTTGCCATTATAAGTGACAGGTGGGGTCACGGGGCAGCTCCCCGTGTGGGTGTGCGTGTGGGCTCGGGGCTGCTCCCTCACTGACTCACCCCGGGAGGCAGCCCTGAGCTCCCGTCCCCACCTGCGGGGAGGGCGTCCCCCACCCGAGCCGGTCCCGACACGTGCAGGGTGGAGCCGTGTGACACGTGCAGGGTGGAGCCGTGTGGTCTGGGCGTAGGCTGAGGTCCGTGGGTGCAGCTCTGTGTCCCCATAGCTGCCTCTGCTCCCTGTTTTTCCCACTCCTGGGCTGGGAATTCCCTGGGACGCCTCCTTACCCTTCTTCCCGAGTCTAGAGCCCTTGGGTTGGAAGTTCCTGCCCTGTGGGCGCCCTTGTCCGTGCTCAGGCTTTCCCGTGACTCCAGCTGCCTCCTCAGGACCAGTTCCCACCTCGCACCCCCTGCTGCGCATCTTCCCCCTCCCTCCGCCCTCCGCTGACCTGCCACAGCTCTTAGGTCTTGAGCAACAAGATTCAGCTTTATTCCTAAGAGTAACTAGGACTCACTGTCTCCCTCAGCTCTCTCTAATTGATGGCCGTGCAGGCCCTGCGCTCCTTTCCCTCTGACCGTGCTTCTTGGCAGACGCCAGGCCCGTGAAAGCCCAGTGGGGGGCCTCCCACAAGCAGTTCCTTCTGTCCAGAGCCCTCTCTGAGCCCACGTGCCCAGGCCCCCAGCCCTCTCCCTTGGAAGCCCATATGCCTTCCAGTCACCTCCAGCCGTATGCCGTGTTCTCCTGTATGGGGGCGGCACTTGGCCGTCCAATGTAGGGTCTTTCTTTCCCAAATGTCAACATCCCGGTTCCCGCCCGGATGTGCCTCTCCCCACCAGAAGC